CATCGTATGTCTACCAAGTTTTCAGAGAATGGTGTAGTAATAGAATTAAATTTTAATAACTTTGGTGTAATTATGACGTCATATGACGTCAGAGCTAATATTATAGTCCGCCATATTGGATTTTGACCAATGACGTCATTAAATTAGCATATTATATGCATATTACATGATTTAACTTATATTTAATTATGTAAGATGTTATTAATGTTGGAAAAGAAGTGTAATTTTATATAAAACTCAGAAAAATTTTATGTTTAAACCAAAATTACTTTTATTTTCAAAAAAACTACCCGTTGCCATGGCAACACAAAAAAACATCAACTTACTAGTATAAAACTAATATGAACTTTTTTCCAGAGACATTTTAGGAAAGGTCTCCAAATTTGATACTTCTAGCGCAAGCCGTTTAGCCGCTATCTTAGATCAAAGTTGGGCCTCAAAAGCACCTTCAGTCTGAAATGGGTTTAAAAATCGGGTATTTTTTCTTGTCTTCTTTTCTTCACCAAAAAATAGAAAAAGTTCAAAATGTATGATTTTTGTATGTAATGTGGACACAGAGGTTCCCACATCAGTTTGCAAAACAATTGAGCTGGTAGCATGTTGATAATTTCTAAAAATTAGCAAAAAACTGCTCTGGGGTCCGCGCGGACCCCAGGTGTACAGATTAATCAGTCCGGGAAGGTGTACTGTTGAGGGTTAAGCACCAAGGACAGGGACTGTAGTGTAAGTGTGGTCATGTTCAGCACTAAGGACAGGGACAGTAGTATAAGTGTGGGCATGTTCAGCACTAAGGACAGTACAGTAGTGTTAGTGTGGCATGTTCAGCACCAAGGACAGGGACAATAGTGCCAGTTCGGTCATGTTCAGCCCTAAGGACAGGTACAGTAGTGTTAGTGTGGGTATGTTCAACACTAAGGACAGGGACAGTAGTGTTAGTGTTATACATGTTCAGCACTAAGGACAGGGAGGGTAGTGTTAGTGTTGGTATGTTCAGCACCAAGGACAGTGACAGTAGTGTTAGTGCGGGCATGTTCAGCACTAAGGACAGGGACAGTAGTGTTAGTGTTGGCTAGTTCAGCACCAAGGACAGGGGCAGTACTGTTAGTGCGGGCATGTTCACCACTAAGGACAGGGACTGTAGTTTTAGTGTTGGCATGTTCAGCACCATGGACAGGGAAAGTAGTGTTAGTGCGGGCATGTTCAGCACTAAGGACAGGGACAGTAGTGTGAGTGTGGGCATGTTCAGCACCAAAGACAGGGAAAGTAGTGTTAGTGCGGGCATGTTCACCACTAACGACAGGGACAGTAGTGTTAGTGTGGGCATGTTCAGCACTAAGAACAGGGGGTCAACCATGACAACAAAACATCAACAGAATATGACGAAATAATTATAAAGCATGCAACTACGGTTGTTTGCAATCCTTTGAAAGTGGACAATATGGTAAATACATATATATTCCTATCTCAATCTCAAATGCAAATTTCTCACAAATTTTTTATCTGTTTGATTTTCTACGAGACTGTATTTTTTCAATCCATTTTGAAAGGCATTTGTGGAAAGCTTAGGAAAGAGGAGGACCATATATGCATTTCTAATAATAAAAATATAGGTTGTTTTGCTAAGAAAAACTAATTGTATCAGGACGGGAGTCATAACTGTCTATCTTTAATGAAAAATATACATTTTCAGATAGGCAATGCAAACTGACTGCGTCAGCTACAGTTAACATAAGTATATGGAGTTCACAATGCCTTTTAATTTGTATCCGCATTAGTACAGTTTGTGTACCTGCCCTTCTGCGTAACAAACCATCTTTGCAGGCATCTAGCTATATTGCACCTAGCGATCTCCCGATCTTCTCACATCTTACTACTACAAGATTTGTTTAAAGTTTTCTAGTTGATACTTACTGTACTGTACTTTGAGATTTACTCTACGATAGAACACGTGGATTTTGGGTTCATAACTCTGAAGGTATCAATACATTAGAAATCATAACATACTAGCAGATTCCCATAATATCATACATTGGCCAATTTATGTTATCTTCACTTACGACATGCGAAAACTTATATTTTAAGTATAACTGTAACATTAATCATGTAACTGTAGTCCCAGTTATATAGTTGGATTTTTTTCTAACTGTTCAGTTGGATCATGTCAAATTCCTTTGCTGTCAGCAGAATGGGTTAGAACAGTAGTAGTGTTGGTTGAAGTGCGATTTTGCTGAAAT